CTTTTTACGTCTAAAATATGAGATCCAGGCATGTCTTGATCACTTTTTTCTTGACCTATTTGAGACTAACTCGCTTATTGTGCAAGATCCTTTTTGGCTCATTTGCTTTCCAACAACACAATTTATGGTCCCTATTCGCACATGTCCTGTGTTTGAATAATAATCCTTTTTATGCTTTTAAATTTAATTAAAGACTTAATAGCTCTTATATGCGAAGAAAAGTTGGGTTTCAAGAATTCTCTTGTTTAATAATTGTTGAGCGTACTTCCATTTCGAGTGGAAGTGTTGGGTGAAGAGATTCGAAGGTCGGTTCCACCAGCAGACGGCGGCAAATTCCTCTTAACCAGCTGCCGATTGGCTTTACTGGAACCTTCAAATCGAAATGGAAGTAAGCTCAACAATTAATACCTCTTACTTTTTCATAGAATGACTATCCGTTAGTTTACTTACCAGACTTTGAATACTATGCAATCCTCAATTTCTAGCTATTTTGTGATATATCCCGTATTTTAGTTGCTCTTACTCAAGCCTTGGCTCATTAACCTCAGCAACACACTTATAAACTCCACCATTTTTAATGCGTTTTACGGCCAAATTGCTCCTGGCTCCCATTGCGCATAGTTCTTCTGACTACTTTATGCTGGTTCGTATATTATGCTTAGTACGTTGATTAATTCCCTCTACGCCAATTCGGCCTTGTAAATATTAACATTCAACTCTATATCATTCAGAAATTTGCTTATATACCTATTTACATTTCTTCTCTTAAAAAATCTAATCTCTATTTACAATTTTTAGTTTTTCTTATGAGTGCCAGCGCAAATGGCCTATTGCCGAATTAATTTTAATTCATTAATACAATTAATCTTTTTTGAAGAAAAGTTTGGAGAAGCAATACTTTTTTATTAACGTTTCTATGACCTATATATATGTATATATATATAGTTCATATATATACATCATATATATATATATATATGTTTGTGTGTGTGTGTGTATATATTATCTTCCTCTTTCAAAAGTCTGTCTTTATTCCGGCTTCCTTTGTCAGTCTGCCGCCGAGTCAGAATGCGCTGCTCGCCGTGCTGCTGAGGCTGCCTCCACGATTGCAGCTGCCACCGCAGCTGCTCAACTCGCTCGTAGAGCCGCCGAGATGGCTGATCGACTTACGGGAATTTCCAGCCTACCTGGATCCCCGGGCCCTCTTGACTCAGTCGACAATGGGCAGGCCAATGCTTCTGCATTTTTGGATAGTGATGGAATCACTACTTTGACGCCAGCTGGTACAGCGAATCAGCCGAGGATATTGGTTCAAGAGGATGAAGTGGAGGTTGGTACCATCGAGAAAGCGAGCACAACGGCGACGGAGCAGGATGAAGTGGCTATTGGCATGAGAGAGCCAGACACGACTGACGCTTCGGTTGCACTTTTGTTGGCGCGAGTGCGGGAAATGGCGGAACGCGCCAGAGCTGCCGAAGCAATGGCTAAGGATGCCATGGATCAGTTAGATGCAGAACAATGCTTCCGAAAGCTGTACAAA